CCGAAGCCCGCTGCGGCGGAGGCGGCCGCGCCCACGCTGCGCTGCCTAGTACTCACCGGCTTCGGTGGCTACGACAAGCTGAAGCTGCAGCAGCGGCCGGCCGCGCCCCCCGCGCCCGGGCCGGGCCAGCTGAGCCTGCGCGTGCGAGCCTGCGGCCTCAACTTCTCCGACCTGTTCGCGCGCCAGGGCTTGCACGACCGCCTGCCGCCCCTGCCGCTCACGCCGGGCGTCGAGGGCGCGGGCGAGGTGGTGGCCGTGGGCGAGGGCGTGGCCGACCGCAAGGTGAGCGCGGGTCCGCTGCGCCGCGAGCCCCCGGCGGGCCACACCCCGTCGTGTTTTCTGGGAGACGGCAGCAGCTCGCGAAGCCGCTGCACTCCCCAGGCGGGGCTCGAACCCGCGTGTTCGCGCGCACAGCTTCCCACCGTTCTGGGCTGCTGGAGTGCCCACCACGCCCGGCTTTGTTTGTCTGTGTTTTGTGGCGCCGGGCCCCGGGCGTAGGACCTCGCCCAAAGTGCACCATGGCTCCGGCCCAGAACCGAGCCCCCGCCAGAACTGAGAATTTGGGGTGCTTGGAGAATGGCATTGAGTATGCTGGCGGAAGGATAGCTTGATGGCCCGGTCCCTGACCACTTCCGAGTCGTGGCCACCGCCCCAAAACTAGAGGATTAGGGGGATAATGACATCCACGCACATGCACGCCGTGACCCGGGCACAGCGCCCCGAATCAGCCAGCCTAAACCCCCTGCCCTCCAGACGCCCAGGCGACTGCTTGGTGTCGCCTGGGGTGGGCGGGGCACTGCCTCACCGAGTCATGCGCAGCCTCTTGGGCGGTGCACGCCCTTCGCGGGGCGATCTTTGTCTCCCGTGACCACGCGCCCCCCTCCTGCGGTGACTCAGCCGCCCCGACCCCGCTGCGCTGGGACTTCCAGCTGGACCTTGGCCTCCCTGCGGGGACCCAGGCCTCGAACCCTGGGCGGGCGGGGTGGGAAGGGCGGCGCTGGGCAGGTTGGCCCAGCTCTGCCAGTCCTTTTCTCCTTTAGTGCTCATCTGGGCCGGGACCAGGACACAGGATACCTCTGGTGACCAACTTTCTGAGTGCCGTGGGGCGTGGCTCTGAAAGTCATGTGTTTAGGGTTCAGGGCCAGCTCCGGGCCCTGGACGGGGGGCTGGGATTTATCGCACAGCCAGCCCTCTCAGAGCCTTCTCTCCCTGAGTCCAAGTCTGGCCCCACCCGCCCCACGCCTAAGGCACGCACTCAGAGAGGAATGTTGGGGAGGGAGGTACAGTTCTGGGTGCCCAGCGGGGCCATCCTCTCCCCTCCCACACTTTCCGCTGGCTGAATACAGGAAATCGCAAGACTCTGCTGTAAGAGCTGGACTGGGGCGGGGGCGCTTCCCAGCGTCTGGGGGCCGTGTCTGGTGCTGACCAGCAGCCTGCTGGGCAGGAGCTGTCACCCTGAGGGAGCCTCCTGCCTGTGAGGCCCCACACCCCCTGGCCGCCATCGGCCCAGGCTGGGGCACTGTCCCGTCCTGGGAGCCGGCTTCCTTCCCGCTGGCGCTGTGCTCCAGCAGCTGCAGGGAAGAGGCTGCAGCTCTCTGCAGGTGGGCTCTTCACTGGGTCGGGCGTGAGGGTACAGTGTAGGTCAGCGGAGCCCTGACCCTCTCCCCCTTTGACCCCCAGCCTCCCCTTCCTGGCTGGAGCCAGGCCAGGATTAGGCTGTCTCCCCTCATGCTGGTCCTGCCCAAGGCCCAGGCGCCAGCCTGCGGGGACCTGTTTGTTATCTTTGCTCCTTCCTTTCTGGGGTCAGGGGACCTGGGGTTCCTGGCCTTGCCTAGCCTGAATCTGGCTGAAGGTTTTCTGGGTCCCCAGTGCTGGTGACATGGCTGCACCCAGCTCAGAGGTCCCTGTGCTGAGGTTGGCCCTTACACCTACTGGTCTCTTTCTTGGTTAGTGGGTTATTGGACAGTGCTGATGTCTTCTGTTACTGTCAGTGGGCCTGGTCCCTGAGAGCCTGCCCAAGAGCTGCTGGGCTGGAAGACCCTGAGCGAGTCTTTCCACTTGAGGCTCTTCCCCAGCTTTGCAGATAAGAAAGCTCATTAATGGGGCCGGGGAGATGGCTCAGTAGAATAAGTGCTTCCCTGGCGAGCGCAAGGGCCTGAGTTCAATCCCTGGTTCTGCAAAAAAAAAAAGAAAGCCCATTACTTTGTCCAGGTCACACAGGCTACTGGTGGAGGGTGCAATGCTCCCTGGCCTAACCGTAGCTTCTTACACAACCCCGGACTGCGGTCTGTGACCTGAAGATAAGGGGAGGGTCTGCCTCGACACTGATGGAAGGATAAAGGGTTTCCTTGGAGACAGGATCTCACTGTGTGGCCCTGGCTTGAACTCCTGCTTCTTTCTGCCTGAGCCTCCTGGTGCTGGGATTGCAGGCGTGCACCCCAGTGCCTGGCAGTGGGGCGCTTCTGTGCCGGGTGCTGGGGCAGGCCAGCCACGAGAGCCAGGAAGCCGGGCTCTTGCCCTGGTGCTGTTGTGACCTGGGCCCTGCTCTGGTCTCTGCCGGGGTGGGGCAGGGGAGGAAGTTGGGGGAATGAACAGGTGAATGACTGGTGGTGCTCTTCTTCCTTTCGTCAAGGTTGGGGACCGGGTGATGGTGCTGACCCGGTGGGGCATGTGGCAGGAGGAAGCGACAGTCCCAGCTGCCCACACCTTCCTCATGCCTGAGGCAATGAGCTTCGAAGAGGGCGCCGCCCTGCTGGGCAACTACCTGACAGCCTACATGGTCCTCTTCGACTTTGGCAACCTGAGGCCGGGCCACAGTGTCCTCGTGCACATGGCTGCAGGTGACCATCCCCCACCCGGCCTCTCGGGCTTTGCTCCGCAGCCCGCCTAGAGTGTTGCTGTGGCAATGGCAGGCAGCCTCGGCCTGTGGTGTCCAGAGGCTGAGGCAGCGTTGCCGTGGTAACGTGCAGGCTCCAGGTGAGCCTGGTGTCCTTGGCAACAAGCCCTGTCCACTCGGTCCTCTCAGCCACCCTCCCAGGCTTGGCTGTGAGGAGCAGGAGGCTGGGCCCCAGGGTGTGACCGGCAGTCCCGCAGCCCCTCCCACCGAGCCTCCCTGCAGGTGGTGTGGGCATGGCCGCCCTGCAGCTGTGCAGAACGGTGGAGAACGTGACGGTGTTTGGGACGGCGTCCGCCAGCAAGCACGAGGTGCTGCGGAATAATGGGGTGGCCCACCCCATTGACTACCACACAGTGGACTATGTGGATGCCATCAAGAAGATCTCTCCCAGAGGTGGGCAGGGCAGCTCAGGGCGGGAGGGGTTCCCGGCGCAGAGCCTCAGGCTGGGCTGTCTCCCTCCATCTGTGACAGGCGTGGACATCGTCATGGACCCTCTGGGCGGCTCAGACACTGCCAAGGGCTACAGCCTCCTCAAGCCCATGGGCAAGCTCATCACCTATGGTGAGCTGGCCGCTAGGGGCGGGCGGGGGGGTGTCTCTGGTTCCTGGCTGTGGGGAGACCTTAGAGCTCCGGGGGGCGGGTGGCCCTGGCTCACACGTGGCTGCCTGCCTGGGGGCAGCCTTCTGTGGGCCTGGCGAAGCCCTACACCCTGCGCTCTTGCTGGGGGTCACTGCCTTCCTTCAGTCCACCTGGGCTTCTTTGGGGAGGCCGATTTCCACTGCCAGGCCTGCTTTGTGCCGGGCTTGGTGGCACACGCCTGTAACCCCAGAACCCTGGAGGCGGAGGCATGAAGACTGCTCTGTGTTCAAGATGAACCTGATCTATTTCACAAGACCCTCTCAGCAGTAAGAACGTTTAAGGGGCGTTCTGGCCACACACTGGCTCCTGTGAAGGGTATACAGTCACTGTGTCTGCACACGTGGAGTAAGAAGAACAAGAATGAAGTCCGTTTATTTATTTAGCACAGGGTCTTGCTGCCTAGCTCGGAGGCATAGGGATGCTCCTGTCTCAGCCTCCCCAGTGCTGGGGTTACAGGTGTGCGCTACCAAGCCTGGTTTTGGGGCGGGCACCGTGCACCCGGGGTTCTGGGCTACCGAGGATCAAACCTGGCTTCTTGTGCTTGCCAGGCAGGTGCTGAGATGGCCAAGCTGCCTCCCCAGTCCCCCAAAATGAAGTAAATTGATTGATTGATTTTGGCGGAACCGGGGATTGAGCTCAGGCCCTTGCACTTGCCAGGGAAGCGCTTATTCCACTGAGCCATCTCCCTGGCCCCTGAAGTAAACTTAAAGATTAACAGGCACCTCATTTTCTGGGCCACCTTGTAACTCTCTTAAGCTTTTCTTCCTTTCAGTACAGTTTTTCAGGCTGGGGCAATAGCTCGGCTGTCTAAACGCCTGCCTGGCAAGCGCAAGGACTCCAGGTTTAGTCTTCACTACTGCATGCTGTGCTGGCCTCAGGATCAGGCCTGGTGGTGCTCACCTAGAATCCCAGCGCTGGGGAGGCTGAGACAGGAAGGTCACTAAGAGTCTGAGCTGCGTAGCAAAACCCTGTACCAAATTAATAACAGTAATAATAATAATTCGGTTTTATTTTTAAGTCTGAGACAGAGTCTTGCTATGAGTTCAGACTGGCCTTGAGCTCACTATGTAGCTCAGGCTGGTCTTGAACTCTCAAAAATCCTCCTGCCTCAGCCTCCTGAGGGCTGGAGGTGGGTGGGGGAGGCGGAGAGGGAGGGAAATTAAGGCAGTTTCTGAGTCAGCCAGGGTTGGGATCCCTGTCCTGCCTGCCACTCCCTGGCACCAAACAGGGTGACAGCCCCGGGGCAGGCAAACGCAGGCATGGAGCCTGCATCACAGGAACCCTTCCCCATCCCGCAGGGGTGGCCAACATGATGACCGGGCCCAAGCGGAACCTGATGGCCATGGCCCGCACGTGGTGGAACCAGCTCAGCGTCACGGCTCAGCAGCTGCTGCAGTCTAACCGCGCTGTGTGTGGCTTCTACCTGGGTGCCCTGGAAGATGACCCGGAGCTGCTTGGCCGTGTGGTGGCCCGGCTGCTGGCCCTGTACAGCCAGGGCCACATCAAGCCCCACATCGACTCTGTCTGGCCCTTCGAGAAGGTGGGTGTGAGGGTCCTGCCAGGAGGACCAGGGCTCTCAGGGAGAGTCCTCAGTCCTACCGTTTTTTGGGAGGCTGAGGCAGGAGGGTCCCAAGTTAAAATTCATGTTGGGTGGGTGAGACCATTTTAAAATTAAAATTGAAAGAGGCTGGCGGTGTAGTTGTGTGTGCAGGCCCTGGATTTAATGCCCAGGATCACAAAAAAGACAATTCCTGGGGAGCAGGGTGCGGGGACCCCTCCAGGTGGGCCCTTAGGGGCTGGATGGCATTGGAGCAAAGGCTCCTCTTCTGCTCCAGGTGGCCAACGCCATGAAGCAGTTGCAGGAGAAGAAGAACGTGGGCAAGGTCATCCTGGTGCCCGGGCCAGAGAAGGACTAACTCAGGCCCAGGGCCGCACTGGCCTCCTGCCCCGGCCCTTCCTGCCCCCGGGGAAGTGACCACTCAGATGTATGGGCCCTGCCAAGGGCGGGGCAGAGGCTGCTGTTTCCGGCCCCAGCCCTCCCCGGCCACTGCACTGCGCTCGTGCCAAGGTTCCCGCTGTCTGCCCTGTGTGCCCCTGCCTCAGCTTCCCTCCTAGTCCCACAGCGTCCAGCCTGCGCCCGCCCCTCCTGCCATCAGCTCCAGCTGCCAGAGCACAGCAGGATGTGTCCATCTCCGGGCTTGAGGCTGCCTCTTCCAGGCAACCTCAGCCAGCCCCAGCCAGGCCCGGGGCCCAGGTCCCTGCACTGCCTGCCACTGAGACCTCGCGATCTGCTCAGTGCCTTCGCACCGGAGACCTGTGCTGTGAGGCGGGGTCCCTGCCCGGCTCCGCCTGAGCCCCAGTGCCTTCCCGGGCCCCGGAGCTGGCTCCTGCCCCACTCCGCCCTGGGCAGCACCAGCCTGGTGCGTTTGCCCTTGGCCTGCCCTGCCCAAGGAGGCAGCAGAGCACAGCGAGCGCTGGAGAGGTGTTGAGGCTTCAGCCCCAGAGTTGGTCCTTATGGGGACAGCGAGCAGGAAGGCGCTGGAAGCTGATGCCAGGGCTGCTGCCCAGCGCAGAGGCCAGGAAGGTGGCCTCGCGGGAACAGGCCTGCAGCTGCCTTTGTGTTTGTGTCAATAAAATGCCAAACCCAGCGCAGTGTGGATGTTACTTGTGCAATGCGGGACACTCGCCCGGCCCCCCGGCCTCCTTCAGGCCACACCCCAGCAGCCCTTCATCTGCATCCCTTAAGGAGCCAGGCAGGACACCGACCAGGCAGCAGGCACTTTACTCCCATCCTGGACCCCGACCTCTATCCCGAGGTGAACACGGCCAGGCCCTGCTCCCCGGGGGGCACCACGGCCACCTCCGCCACCTCTCCGCCGCCGTATGTGGGCTTCTGGAAGTGGACCTCTAGGATGTCATGCAGCTGGGGGCCATCGAGGACATCGGGAATGCCCAGCACCAGCACAGAGCAGGGTACCGGCTGCCAGCGGATCTGCGGTGGGAGCCGGGGTCTCAGCCAGAGGCTGAGGAGGGCGGTGCCTGGAGGACTGCAGGACAGTGGGGCGCTGGCAGGCAGGGCGCTCACCTGGGCCTCCTCGATGACCCCGTTCACATAGGGGGTGACTCTCAGCAGCACCTGCTGGCCCCCCAGCGGCACCTGGAACCGGCCGAGCTGGCAGAGGTGTTTGGCCACTGTGGGAACAGTGAAAGCCAGGCATGGAGGCTGCCCGTCGCGGGCCTGGGCGCCTCATCCCGGGGCCTGGGGCCTCACCTCCCTCGTCAGCGAAGCCCAGCACCACAGTGCCACCGGGCAGCAGCTCACGGGAGTCCACGTCGCCACCTCCGTGCCGGGTCTTGCTGAAGAAGAGCTCGAGCTTGTCCAGTAGCGTCTCTTCGGTCAGTGGCAGCCCTGCTGGCAGCCCGCTCACCAGCACATGCTGCCTGCTTGCCACCCCCGCCACCTGCGGCACACGGTGTCACCGAGGGCCCCCAAGTGTCCCCCTGCCCTGCGCGTCCTGGCTGCGTTACCTGCACGCCGAGCACCGCGGGGCAGCTCCAGCGGCCGCACGCGCACTCGCAACACTGTCACCGAGGGCCCCCAAGTGTGCCCCTGCCCTGCGCGTCCCAGGTTACCTGCACACCGAGCACCACGGGCAGCTCCAGCGGGCGCACGCGCACGCGCAGGCAACACTCCTCCAGCTGCACCTGGTGTAGCTCCCGCCGCAGCACCTGCTTGGCCACTGGGAGGGAGGAGAGGGCTAGCAAGGCCCACCCCCCCTCCACCACGCCCTCCCACTGGGAGGGAGGACAGGGCTAGCACGCCCCACCCGCACCCTCCACCTGCCCAACGCACCTTGTGGGTCATTGAAGGTCACCAGAGCAGAACCCCCTGGGAGCGGACAGCACACCCGGAGTTCAGAGACCAAGGACTTGGCCACTTCCCGGGCCTGCTTAGTGTGTCCCCGGAACTCCAGGGGTGCCTCTGGCACTGGGAAGGGGACCTGTGTTGGGAGAGGGTCTGAGGGCAGCGTCGCGGAGGAGAGAGAAGATGGCCCAGGTGTGCCATGCAGGATGCAGGCCAGGCCCATGCAGGCTTACAGGCACGTTGGGCTTGTTTTTTTTTTTTTTTTTTTTTTTGCAGAACCGGGGATTGAACTCAGGGCCTTGCGCTTGCCAGGGAAGCGCTTATTCCCCTGAGCCACCTCCTCAGCCCCTTCACTTTGGGTTTCTGAGACAGGGTCTGGCTATGTAACCCAGGCCCGCCTGCTGCTTACTTGTCCTCCTGCCCTATCCTCCCAAGAGCTGGGGTGACAGGCGTGTGCCACTATAGCCGGCCTTTGTGCAGTGCTGGGGACTGATCCCAGGACACGGGCACCCCACCTCCTACAGGACCTTGCCCAGGCCTGGCTGGAGGCTGGCCTGCTTTCCAGAGAACACGGTTGAGGTTCCGAGGCTCCGGGAGCGCAGAGGTCCCCCAGCAGCAAGCGCAGCCCTGCCCCCTGCGGGAGGCCCAGCTCTTCCCCAGACCCACCGTCTGCCCCGTGACCCTGAGTCTGGGGGTGACACTGGCGTTTCTTTTCAGCTGCCGGAGCTCTTGCAGCCTCTTCTTCAGCCTGGCCTGATCCTCCAGGAGAGCGGAGAGAGCCTGAGAGCAGGAGGGCAGGCAGCTGCCTCAGGCACCAGTCTGGGTGGACGAGCCCCACCCCCGCACAGGGCTGGGCCTGGTCACCCCAGCACCAGTGGCTGCCTCGGTGGGCCCTGGCAGGGCAGAAGTCCCCTCCACAGCCACGGCTGCTTCATTACTGCAGAGCTAGAGTTCAACAAACTGAGGAGAAACCAAGAGCCGTGGTACAAGTCTAGAACTCCAGCACTCTGGGAGACTGAGGCAGGAGAATCTCAAGGTCAAGCCCAGCCAGGGCCGTTTGAAGAGACCTTGATTTAAAATCAGAAAAAGGGGGCTGGGGAGATGGCTCAGTGAAATAAGTGTTTCCCTGGCAAGCGCAAGGGCATGAGTTCAAACCCTGGTTCCGTAAAAAAATAAAAATAAATAAATAAATAATAAAATAAATAAAATCAGAAAAAGGGGGCTGGGGAGATGGCTCAGTGAAATAAGTGTTTCCCTGGCAAGCGCAAGGGCATGAGTTCAAACCCTGGTTCCGTAAAAAAATAAAAATAAATAAATAAATAATAAAATAAATAAAATCAGAAAAAGACGTGGGGACCTAGCTCACTGTGAAGGTTCTGGGTCCACCCCAGTGCTGTGAAAATGGAAATGCACAATCCCAGGCAGGGCCCACCCCCTGGGGACTGGGGGGCACAGTCCCCAGGGCTAACAAGCCTGGTGGGGCTGGGGCTGCCGGCCAATGCCCAGCACTCTTGAGTCCCTGCACGTGGCTGCGCCCTGCGGAAGAAACCCAGGCGGCTCCACCTGGGCCACATCCCTGGCTCACTCTTGTTTTTATTTTGAAACATCTTGCTAAATTCCCTGGGCTGGCTTCACACTTAGCAGTCGCTCTCCAACTCCCGAGCAGCTGGGATCTTGGCTTGCGCCACCATGCCCTAGGCTTGGGGTCGAGCCTTGGACCTGGTGCACTCCCAGCATTTCCTGAATCCTGGTTGTAGGTCCCAGGCTAGCGTCTCCACCTCCGTGGGCAGAGCTCTGAGCCTTGGGCTTCGCGTGATAGGTAAGTGCTCTATCACTGAGCTACACTGCCAGCCTTTCAAAATTTTTTCATTTGGGGAGCTGGGTGTGGTGGCACACATCTGTGATCTCAGCACCAGGGAAGCTGAGGCAGGAGGATCACGGAGAGTTCGAAGTCAGTCTGGGCTACATAGTGAGCTCAAAACCAGCCTGAACTGCATCTTTTTTTTTTTTTTTTTTTTTTTTGAGGGATGGGGTTGCTGGGAATCAAATTCGGGGCCTTGTACCTGCCAGACTGGTGATGCGCTATTGAGCTATATGCACCTGGCCCCCAGCCTAAACTACATAGTGAGCCCATCTTGCTAACTTGCTAATTTCCCCCAACTGGGTTTGAATTTACAATCCTCCGCCCCAGCCTCCCAAGTAGAAGGCTTGGGGGGGGGGGCATGCTGCCGTCACTCCCGGCGGAGCTAGGGCTGGGCCACGGGGCGCTCTGCCCGCGCACCTTCACCTCCCTCCAGCTGGGAAGGCGTGATGCCCTCACACCAGGCTCCACCCTGCCAGCCCGGGTGGCCTAGCCTGTCCCTTATCTGCCACTTCCACCAAGTGGCCTTTCAGCTGCTGTGATCTGGAGCTGGCCCAGTGACACTGATCATGCGGGAACAATCACAGCTCTGTGGCCAGGGCTGGCAGAGGCCTCACGGCTGTGCTGGGAAGCTGCTGAATGGGGTCCCCTCTGACATGGGGGCTGCTGGGACAGTGTTGTCCTGGCCGCCTCCACGTCCCCAGGATGATGTGCTGAATGAATGCAGCGAATGAATGAAAGGGTACAGGCCTGTTGTGGAGGACACTGAAGAATGCCAGTGTGGCGCCCACAGGTGGCGCCTGCCTGTGATCCCAGCACTCGGGAGGCTGAGGCAGGAGGATCCTGTGAACTCAAGGCCAGCCTGGGCTACACTGAGCTCAAAGCCAGCCTGAAAGGCATAGCAAGACCCTGTCTCCAAGAGACAAAAAAAGAAAAAGAAAAATGAAATGTCTTTATGGAATATACAAAGTCTTCAGTCCCACTTTTCCCTTTTATTTTCCTTTAAATTTTTTTTTTTAATTTTTATTTAAGGGCTGGCAAGATAGCTCAGCAGACTAAGCGCCTCCTTAGGCAAGCTCATGGACCCGGGTTCAAGCCCCAGCCCACATGCCACGCCAGCCCCGCCCCCAGGCATGCTGAGCAGGCCACAGAGACCAGCTGTGGTGGGGCACGCCTGTAATCCCAGCGCTGGGGAGGCTGAGACAGGAGGGTCACTAGGAGTCTGAGCTGCGTAGTGAGACCCTGTAGCAAATACATTAAAAAAAATTGTTTTTTGGTACTGAGGATTGAACTGGAGATCTTGTGCTTGCCAGGCAGGCACCTGGTGTGGCTAAGCGACATCCCGGCCCCTTCTTTGACTCTCGATCTCATTGTACACCACGTTTGAATCCAACCCAGGCCTGCTGTACCCCAGGCAGGGGCTGCAGAACCGGAAAATGAACTCAGACCCTTGCACTTGCCGGGCAAGCTCTTATTCTACTGAGCCACCTCCCCAGCCCCTCGATAAACATTTTTTAAGAACAAATTTAAGCAGGAAGCTTCAATTTGACACCGACAGGAAATGGACACACTAGCGAGGTCCGGGCCGAAGTAGGACGCTGAGGCCAGTGGGCGGCAGGATGCAGGCCAGCCTGGGCAACAGCACGCTGCAGCCAAGCAGGAGAGCTCAGGCTGGGCTGCCGCAGAGCCCGGGGGGCAGGGAGGAGGCCCCGAGTCCAGCCCAACTCCCTAAACAAAGCCCAAGGCCAATCAGGCAGGGACAGTGGGAGGAGCCAGGCGGTCCGAGAGAACCCCGCTCTGGCTCCCATCCGCAGGGGGCCGCGATGAGAGCCAAGCTGGGTGGGCTTCTGGCAAGAGCAGAGGAAAAGCATGTGCAAGCCGGGCTTGAGAACACTCTGGGAGGCTGAGGCAGGAGGAGCTCAAATTCAGCTTAGCCTGAACAGTTTGATGACTTCATGAAACACTGCCCTGAAATTTAAAAAGGGCTGGGGATGTAGCTCAGTGCACAAACAAAAGAACAAGGGACAAACGCACAGGAGCGCGTTTCATGAGGAACAGGCTCGCAGCTGAAGCAGGGAGTCCAGCAGGGGTGCACCCTCCAGCCAGAAGCTGCCCCCATGCGGGGAGGGCACCGAGGCCACCTGGGTGGGCGCGGCGAGTGCCAGCCCCCGAGGGCTCGGCTTGGAGAGCAGCAGCCCGCAGGGAGTTTAGCAATTTGGTGGCATTGAGTTGGGCAGTTACAAAAGTCACCTTGTCATGGGAAAGCAACGGAAGCTGATGCCAAGATGCCCCCGACTTGTGGCAAGGGCAACCCTCAATCTTTTGACTGTGCAGTGGCAAGGACACAGTAGGAAGTGAACTTTGAACTCTGTCCCCTTGCTGGACTACGGGTAAGTGACATGATAATTTCTTATGACACCAGGAAGTCATTCGATCCGCAGGGTGAATAAAGGACACACTCTACAGAAGACAGAAGATGTAGGGAATGTTAGGTGGAGTAGATGCATTTTTGATTTATGGGTTTTTATCTCTGGGCCTTTTGAGACAGGGTCTTTCTCTGTAGTCCAGGCTGGCTTTGACATCTTGGCAACTTTCCTGCCTCGGCCTCCAGAGTGCCGGGATTTTAGGTATGCACCACCAAAACCAGTTTGCATGGGTTATCAGGGCTGGGGATGCAGCTTAGTGGCGCAGCACCTGCTTCTCAAGCGCAAGGTCCTGAGTTCCATTTCCGATACCAAAAATAAATAAATATATGTTATTGAAGAGTATTTAAGGGGCCCAGCAAGATAGCTCAGAGGACTAAAGCACCTGCTTAGGCAAGTGCAGGGATGCCAGTTCAATCCCCAGCACCACATGTCACACCAGCCCTGCCCCTAGGGCAGGCTGAACTGGCTGTAAAATAAATAAATAAATAAAAAAGATAAAAAAGAGTTTGTTTTTGTTTTTGTTTTTAAAGAGTATTTAAGGACCCAAAAAAGGTCTCATAATAAGCCAGACAGCAATTTTCTTTAACAGTGCCAGGGATCAAACCCTGGGCCTTGGGGCTGGTGAGATGGCTCAGTGGTCTAAAGCACCTACTTGGAACAAGCTAAGCAAAGCACAGGGACTGCGGTTCGATCCCCCAGCACCACATGCCAACCCGCCCGCCCCCTGGTGGGCTGAGCTGGCCACACACACACACACACACACACACACATAAATAAATAAAAATTAAAAAAAAAAAAAAAAACCCTGGGCCTTTGTACTGAGCTACATCCTGAGTCCCCTTTTTTATTGAGACAGGGTCTCCCTAAGCCACTTAACTGCCCAGGACGGGCTTGAGCTTGTGACTCTCCTGCTCCAGCCTCCCCTGTGCTGGGATTCCAGGCAGGGGCCACTACCAGGCTCCAGTTCAGAGGCAGCTTGACTAAACTGCCGCGGTGTCCCAAACTCACAGCCTTTTGCTTCGGCTCCCAGGATCTGGGACTACAGCAGAATGTCACCTTACTGGCTTTACTTAGGTTTGTTTGCGGTGCTATGAATTGAACCTCAGACCTTGCGCTTGCCAGGCAGGCACCCACGCTGCTAATCTACATCCCCAGTCCTTTACTTTTTTTTTTTTTTGGTGGTACCAGGGATTGAACTCAGGACTTTGTGCTTGCCAGGCAGGTGCTTATGCTGCTGAGCTATCTACCTAGCCTCCCCAGTCCTTTAATTATCCTTTTTTTTTTTTTTCCCCAGAACCGGGGATTGAACTCAGGGCCTTCCGCTTGCCAGGGAAGTGCTTATTCCATCTCCCGGGCCCATCTTTCCACACTTGTGGACACAGAAACATTCCAAAGATAGAGCCCTTTGCTTGTGACAGACAGGTGGGGCGCGAAAGCTGAGACGCCTGGGCAGAGGCGGGACCATTCCCTCAGCAGCAGCGTGGCCAGGTGGCTGGTGTCAGGTGCTCCCAATGCTGAGTGCCCGCTGGGCACGCACAGGCGGTGAGAGGTGCTTAGCTCCTGGGCACACCTGCAGCCCTGGAGAGGGTCACGCTGGCAGGGAGCAGAGATGCTTGGGTGGGCTTCTCCAGATGCAGAAGTCCCCCAGCCGTGCACATGACAGCATGCCTGTCATGCCCTCACTTGGGAGGCTGAGGCAGGAGGATGGGAGTTCGAGGCCAGCCTTGGCTATGTAGTGGGTTCAAAGCCAGCCTGAGGGCTGGGGGGGGGGACAGCTCAGTGGCATAAGCACCTGACTGGCATGTGCAAGGTCCCGAGTTCAATCCCTGGTACTGCCAAATAAATAAATAAAAAGAAATCAAAGCCAGCCTGAGCTGCAGCTTGCTTCAACCCCATTATATACCCTTCTGTGCTGAGTCACTCTGGGGCTGGCTCTCCAGGCCCGCCTCGCACTGGGTGGGCCCCCGCGGCCCAGGGGAGGCGATCCAGCCAAGCTGAGACAATACACGGACCACTACAATCCACTCCTTGTCAACTAGACATATTTCTTTAAACCAGGCTCCATATACAGATGGACATATAATTGCACTTAACATTGTCATAACTTTCCTGTGTATAAACAGAAACGCAGATATCCTTACCAAAAGAGAAGGCAAGTTTTCTTCGCTTGGCGCTTACGTTTTAACATTAACACAGGTTTAGTAATCTTTAAAAACTGGTACAAAATCTATCCATATTATAACATAACCACATGGGGGGAAATAGCACAATTATAATCCCCTTTTCTGTAGCTGATCGCAGGTTTGCAGCTGGTATTTAGACTGCCTTCTTCCACTACCCATTCAGCACCCGTGGGCCCTCGGCAGGCACCGCAGCAGGCTTGGTTCTGGCCCTGGGGTACTGACCCACACCTTCATTCCTCAAGGCTCTGGACCATGTGTCATGGTGCCTGCATGAGGTTGTTGGACGTTCCCGTTCACTTTAATCATTTAGTGGCCAGCTGAGCGCGCCCTGCGGGGGAAGCTGGCGCGGCATGTGGTGCCAGGGACCTAGGCAGGCGCCTTAGACGGCCGAGCTCTCTGCCGGCTCCATGCCCTTGGACGAAGGCTGGCGCTACTGAGGAGGGACCTCCTGCACCCCACGTCTAGCCTTCCTGTCCTCCACTGTGGAGTGGTAATCCAACCTCCCGACAACGCCGCGACTGCTCTTCGGCTTGTCCCCCCGGGGCACCCTTAGCTCCGCGCGCTGGCCAGGACTCGCGGCCCGCAGAACGCAGGGCTACCCGCAGGGAGGGCCCCGCCACCGCGGCCAGCTCGCTCGCTCACCGCGTCCAGGGCTCCCGGGGCCTGCGGGGCTTCCATGCTAACGACCGAGCTCTCGGCGCGCTTCCGGCCGCTGGAGGCCCGCCCGCCGCCCGCCGCCCGCTTCCACTTTCGCTTCCGCGCCCGGACCTGCGCCTCGCGGCCTGGGCGGGGCTGCCCTGCCCGCCGTCCCCGCCCGGACAAACGCGCGGCCCGACCCAGAGCCACGGTCGGAGCGAAACCCGCAGGGCGGCGCCCCCTCGAGTCGGTTCCTGCCGGGCCCGCTGCCCCGCTGGCCTGGCAGAGCCCACCGGGCTCTCCCGGGGTCCCCGCTCCCAGTGCCTCCCCAGCGAAGCGCAGCAGGACACACACACACACACATTTTTTAAATTTTTTTAATGACAAACAAAAAACACCTAAAACCGGAGCTTCTGGAAGAACCACTTGTTCTTGCCCGTCTTGTATCTGCAAGGAAAAGAAGGTGGCAGTAAAAGACACTCGCCCCTCCCCTTCCGAGCCCTGGCCCCGCCCCTCTCCCGCCCAGCCCCGGGCCCCGCCCCTTCCCCTCCGAGCCCCGCCCCCTTCCCCTCCGAGCCCCGGGCCCCACCTCTCCTCGAACTTGACCTTCGCCTCCCGCCGGGCCTTGCGCTTGAGGGCGGGGTCCCTGAAGACGTCCTTGTTGACCACGGTCTTGTCCAGCGGGATGTCCACCGAGTACCTGGAGGTGGGCGGCGGGGTCAGCCAGGCCCCCAGCCGAGCCCAGCTGCGCCGCGCCGGGGGGCGTTCTTCACAAACCCCGACTGCAACGGTTTTCACATACATCCGAACTGCTGAAACTTTCCGCAGCTGTGCGGCTAAGAAGCCAGCGCCCCGCCCGGCCGCGGGGTCCCCACGCCTGCCCACGAGCCTTGGCTCCTACACCCGCACCCGGCAGCGCACGTGCCCTACATCACCGAGGACCCGCAGCCTCGCTTCCAGTGACAGATTTCCTGGGATTTTCTGGGGTGCTGGATGGAAATGAATCCCAGAACCCGTGGACGCCGGATGGATGAGCAGCCCACGCATGGCACACGCCCAGTCTCACCAAACGCCCCTCTGTCTGACACTGGGTCTGGCTATATAGCTAAGGATGAGCTCACACTGCCGAGGGCCCTCCTGCCTCAGCCTCCCAGATGCTGAGGGGCTGCAGGTGGGCGTGGCCACTTGCAGGTGGGACCCCAGCAGGGAGGCACCCTGCAGAGCCCGAAGCACTCGCCTTGTGGGCATGAGGTGGTTGTAGTTATACACCTTCACAAAGGACTTGATCTTCTACCTCTTGGCGATTTTCTTCTTGCCCATGGCGGCTGTCACTTTGCGGGGGTAGCGGTCAATCCCGGCCACCAGGGCGTGGCTGTAGGGGCGGTCGGAGGTGCCGTCGTCGATGTTCTGCGCCACCAAGCAGCAGCGGTTAGCACCCGACAGGAGTCGCTGGCACGCTGGGCACCCCGGGTAACAGACGGTGCGCACCCCACCGGGGAGAAGGTGGGACGAGAGAGAACAGGGTCTCCTCTGTGGCGCCTGCGACTAGCTGAGACCGCTAGGGGATCCCCCCGTGAACGCCCCGATGCAGGCAGGGCAGCCCAAGCCCGGCAACCAGAATCGGACGACGGAGAAGCGAGGGCGATGGCTTTGGGTCTCACCGCCAGCATAAGCGGTGTTCTGCGGGGCGCCCCACACCACGGACAGCAACAGTGCGGGGCTTGCTTACGGCCGTCACGCCCTGCGACACGGCTGGCCTCCAGCTCGCCGAGATCATCCTGCCTCGGCCTCCTGGGATGGCAAGGCGTGCGCCCCCGTGCCCGGCAACGCGGCTTCCCTCGACTTACAGGCCCGCGCGCTGCTCCTCCCGCCTGTCCCACCTCGGGTCCGGCTCCTCCCGCCACGGCGCTCCTCCCGCGGACCCCCGCCTGCCGCCCGCGGGCCCCGATACCTTCACGATGACGGCTTTGCGTCCGGAGTAGCGTCCGGCAAGGACCAGCACCACTTTCCCCGGCTTCATGAACTTGCCCATCGCTGCAGAGTGAGAGGGGGCCGCTCAGGACTCCGTAAGGCCGCAAGCCGTCCCCAGCCTGCAAGCAAGCCCAGGACGCAGGCCCGGGGCGTCAGGATGCTGACTGCCGTCCTCACACAAGCCGCCCGCGGGCTCTGCTCGCGGGGCAGGATCCGCTGGAAAGCCACCAGACACCTACAGACACAACGCACCCGTGGGGGGAGACGGCCGATCGCGGATGGCGGCGGATTAGGAGTCCTAACCAAACCTCTACTCACCGATTGCACCGAGCCGGAGTCACAGCGGAAAGGAAAGGATCGCACTTCCGCTAACCTTTCACCCTGCCGGCGCGCGTCACTTCCGGTCCCGCCCCGGCCTCACGCTTTGGTGTTGCGGGCGGAAGAAGCTCTCAAGGGGAAAGCAGAGCCCGGCCTCGCTTGTGTTTGAGTCAAACTTTATTAGTAGCTGTAGACAAGAGCAAAGGAGTCGCGTCTCCGGCGCTCGGAAAAGTGGAGCGGGTGCGTTCGCGCGCGCGCTGTCCCTTCCTGTATCGCTTTCCTCTGGCACCAGAGGCGGGGGCATAGGCCAAAATTAACTTTTTTGCCTTGGAGGACTCAGGGCGGAGCGGAGACAGATGGAACGAAGGTCCCGGCCTCCATCATCCGGCCCGGCGCAGTCCGGGCTGCCACCCTCCAGGCCACGCAGCTGCCCGGCCGGGTGGATCTGTTTCCACTGAGGTGTGCCGGAGCCAGCGCTGCTCCGTCCCCGGCCCGCCGCGGAGAGCACGGCTCTTCAGTCCGCGGCAGAGCCGAGCCGCCGCTTGGGAGCCCCGCGTGCCCGCGCCCACGCCGGGCGCTCTGCGCGAGCGCATCCTGTTGAGCTGTCCACGGGAGCCTCGGCTCCTGCTCAGTCCTGCGTGGGGCTCACCGGGGAGAGACCGGGACACGTCCCCGGGTTCCTCTCTGTTCTTAGTAAGTTTATTTATGCATCTACTTATTTTAGTCGGGGATAGGTCTCCTTGTGTAGTTCAGGCTGGCCTTCCGCTCCGTGAGCCTCCTGCCTCAGCCTCCTGAAGGCTGAGATTACAGGCGTGCGACATCATGCTGGGCTGTGTCCAGTTCTTGTCTGCTTTTGTTTGAAGCAGGACGTCTGGAGGCAAAAGGACCCCAGTGGAGCGGCTCGGGCCCCTGAGGGCAGCTCTGGGGCCGCAGTTGGCGTCGGCAGCACGGACCACTCTCCCAGTGCTCGTGCCGAGGCCCATACTGGGCCGCGCGGCTGCACCGCCACTGGCTTCTCCCAGCCGATTCATCTGCTGCTGCTGCTGCTTTTTTTTTTTTTTTTTTTTAATGTATTTGGTACCTGGTCTCTCTACGCAGCTCCGACTTGTTTCAGCCTCCCCAGTGCTGGGCTTACAGGCATGCACCACCATGTCTGGCATCAAGACTGGATTTTTTTTTTTTTTTTTAATTTTAGGACAGGGCCTACTACACTGCTACACGGTCTCACTACGTAGACCGGACTCCTAGTGATCTCTTGTGTTCAGCCTCTCAAGAGCTGGGACTACAGGGGCGTGCCACTCCGCCCAGTCTCAATCACCATCTCTATGCGCCCCGGGCGTGGGGCGGGCAGTACTGCAAGCCGGGGATTGAACTCCAGCCTCTGCTTGTCTGCCTAAACAGGTGCTTTAATCCTCTGAGCTTTTTGGTAGAATCGAGGATTGAATCAGGCCCTTGCGCTTGCCAGGGAGGCACTTATTTTACTGAGCCATCTCCCTGGCACCGCTGAGCTTTTTGGCCCACCCTTGTTTTTTGTTTTTTTCTGAGACAGGGTCTCACAATACAGTTTTTTTTTTTTTTTTTAATTTATTTATGTGTGTGTGTGTGTGTGTGTGTGTGTGGCCAGCTCAGCCCACCAGGGGGCGGGGCTGGCTGGCATGTGGTGCTGGGGATTGAACCGTGGTCCCTGTGCTTTGCTAAGCTTGTTCTAAGTAGGTGCTTTAGACCACTGAGCCATCTCACCAGCCCCCACGGAGCTTTTGTAGATGAGGAAAGGACCAGGGCTCAGAAGCCCGGGGCTGTGCCTACCACTTCAGCCCGGCAAGACACCAGTTTCCAGCGCCCTAAATGTGCCAGTCCCAAGAGCAGCACGTGTGGCGGTCCACCGTGTCAGCCTGATTGGCCTGGGGGCGGCCTAGAGATCAGCAAAGCCAGACTCCATGTGTCAGGGTGTGCCCCGGAGGTGTGGCCGCGGAGCCCCATCGGGAGCTGGCCCCTCCGGCCATGTTTTGCCTTCTTGGAGCTGGCTCGGGACCATAGACTGAATCCCTGGCAACCTTGAGCCACATGAAGCTTCTGCTCCTCTAAGCTGTGGGTGTTGGGCGCTGTGTTCCGCAGACAGGAAAGCAATGTGTACAGGATGGTAGGCAAGAGCAGAAAGCCACACACACTCACACACGCCACTGCCAGGCCTGAGTGGATCCACAGCAGAGGGAGCAGACAGCTCTAGCGGATGCAGGACCTGCATCAGATGGGGACGAGGCCGGACAGACTCAGGAAGCAGAGCCCAGGGCTCCACGCTCCGCACAGTGGCTACACAAATGCTGAGACTTTACTGGCAATCACAAATGTCTCATTTTCACACTGCACACTATGTTTTGTGGTCCTGGGGACTGGACCAGACAAGCGCTCTGCCCCGGGTACATCCCGACTCCTAAGCTTGCCCTGTCTACAGGCGCAGAGGACCAATTCTAATAAAATAGCAGTAACGCATCTTAAATAAGGAACATGTTGATTACAATTTAAGTTAAAACGTACAACATCGAAGTGCACAAAGCAAGCAGGGCGGGGACCATCTGCATGGGCCGGGGGGCTGACGACCCACAGGCCGCAGCGAAGGGTGCACAGGTGCTCTCTGGAGTCCGCGTCCCCACTGCAGTACCTGCCAGGCCACCAGACCCGTGCCACTGTCCAGCTCCAGGACAAGTGGTGCCTAGCAGTCGCAGCCTGGGATGCACAGGCGCCGCACACACCGAGGGCTGAGGGCTGGACTGAGGAGGGGTCTCCGGTCTGTTCCCGTCTGTCCTGTCTGGGGAGCTCACAGGACATGGGCCACACCCAGGCGCTCTCCCCAGTGCATTGTGAGAGCCACCTCCTGCCAGCAAGACCATCTCCATGGAAACGTGGCTCTGACCCTGGTCCCTGGCTCTGCAGGCCATCACGGAGAGCGGAGCCAGGCTGGCGTAGGTGGGAAGAGGAAGCTGCGCTCAGCCAGGACCTTGTGCTCTGGCCCAGGCTCCTGAGCAGCTCTGCTGGGGGAGCCTCACCGGCAGGCACCTCCTGCTATGCCGCCCCAAAGACCTGCGTCTAGGGGCTGGGCCCACCACCTCTTCCTAAGATGCAGGCCCAGCACCAGTCACACTCCAGAGCAGAGGCTGTCATGCAAGGAACCCAGGGACCCTTCCGGCAAGAGGGTCTGCACTGCTGGGCCCAGAGCGGGGGGACGAGGACACTGACCACGCGGCTCCGCCCTCCCGCCATCAGAAAGCATCCTTGATGTTCTTAAGCTGGCGCACCGCCAGGTCCACGGGGAGGTGGAACTCTAGGCTGCTGAGGCGGCTGAGCAGGCTGAGGGCGCTCTCGAAGCCGGTGTGGGCCATGTAGCTCCAGGGCTGGTAGTGCGGCTCGATGAGGGCGCCCGACTTGCAGATGAGGTTCAGCCAGGACACGAGGCGCTGCTCATTGAGCGCCATGCACACCAGCGCCTTCAGCTCGGAGTCTGCGCTGCGCTTGAAGGGGTCGTGCTCGGTCAGCACCAGGTGGATGGCGCTCAGCAGGCTCTGCTTGGGGGTCACCGTGGAGCCCACGCCCACAGGCAGGGCGAAGGCCTGGGACAGCTTGCGGGCAGGGGACTCCATGTAGGCACGGCCGTTCTTGGCGTGGTAGTACTTCACAAAGAGCTCCCAGGGGTGCATGGCCTGGGGGCCTGAGGACAGGGTGGGCAGCAGGCAGGCCAGTGGCGCCAGGACCAGGCTCGCCCCAGGGGACGCGGCGTGCAGCCCGTGGGCCAGCAGGTCCCGCATGGCCACCGTAAGCTCCTTTCGTACCACGGTGGTCAGCTCATCCCTGGCCCCTGGGGCAATGTCCTGGAGGCCAGAAGAGGTGACCCCGTGGTCCTGGGGCTGCTGGCGCAGGGCCAGCTGCTTCACCCTGTCCACTGACACCTCCAGCCGCTTCAGCAAGGGGGCATAGTCCCTCTCTGCCTGGCCCCTCGGCCACAGGCTGGGCGGGATGTGCTCTGCTGCACAGCCAAACTGGCTCACGGCGAAGATCTGCAGCACAGCCAACGCCCGGCGCAGCAGGTGCAGCCCCGTCTCCCGGCTGTGCTTTGTGTCAGCAGCTCTTTCTGTTTGGAAAGGACAGTGGCTCGTCAACAGCAGGGTTTTTGGGTCTGCTGTATAGACCAGGCTGGTCTCAGACTTGGGAGCGATCCCCCTGCCTCAGCCTCCTGAGTATAGGGCTGCAAGGTGTGTGCTGCCACGCCTAGCAGAGAGCGAGCTTTGCTTTTGTCCCACAGTACAGGTACCACGTGGAGGTAGGGGCCACCCAGAATGGACCTGGACTCTGCTTAGCAATGCCAGCTGTGGTGACATGGAATTCACACATAGTAAGACACACCTACGCACAGCACGCTCCTGTGCGAAGCCCGGGCTCTATGGTGCACCCACCCCCACCCCTGTGCTTTCCAGCGCGTCCCACTCTGTAGACCCAAGGCAGCATCGATGTGCTGCAGTCCCGTGGCCCCATCGCCCCACTTACCTGAGCTGCTTCCTGGGGCTCCCTGGCCACTGCTCGGTCCGCTGCAGCCACCCACTGGCCTTCCACCAGCCTTGCACACGCAGGGTCTGCCGCCGGTCTGTAAGGGGCTTCCTGCTTCATCTGCAACCAGGAGTTAGGACAGGGGATGCGGAAGGGCAGCAGCCCACAGCAGGGCTGCAGAGCCCTCCTGCCCTGGGCCTGCAAGTATGTGCGAGGTAAATGAAGCATGAGCCTTGGTTTTACAGGCCCTGCAAACTGGGGTTAGCAGCTGGCCCAAGCCAGCAGGCCAGCGATGGCCAGGTGGGCACCCGGACTGCTCCTAAGCCCTGGGTCCTCTGCACCTGCTCAGGGCAGAGCAGGACCCAGACGCCCGCTGACCTTGGAGGACACTGACGAACATCTCCAGGTCGTGCATCTGGAGGTTAGCAGCTGGCCCAGGACAGCAGGCCAGTGAGTGGCCAGGCGGGGATCCTAACTGCTCCTAAGCCCTGGGTCCCCCGCTGACCTTGGAGGAAGCTGATGAACATCTCCAGGTCGCGGATCTGCGTCTTCAGCTGCTCCACTAGCTGTTCCTTCACGCGGGCCGGGTTGACGATCTGGGTCACGGCTGCATCCACACGCTGCCGGAGCTCCTCCGGGGACAGCGAGCCAATGTCCTCGTTCAGGTTCATGTCCAGTTTCTTTATCAGCTCATCTATGATCACCTGCCGAGACCGTGACAGAGAGGGCGTGCTGGTGCCAGCTGGGGCGGAGGAGCTTCCTCCCGCTTTCCTTTCCTTCTTGAGACAGGGTCTCATCAAGTAGCCCTGGCTGGCCTCACACTCAGTATCCTCCTGCCTCAGCCTCCAAGTGCTGGGGCCACAGGCACGTGCCACCAGCCTGGCTTTTTGTTCATTAAGATGCCTACCAGGCTTTGAACTTGCCATCCTCCCGCCCCAGCCTCCTGGGCAGCTGGGCTGCCAGTCGTGAGGCACAAGGTGTAAAGGCTTTTACTGAGGCCTCTACTCTCTTAGGAATGGGACAGAAGCCCTCTGTTCTGCCTGAGAGAAATCGCCACTCTTTTCTTTGAAACAAGGTCTTGCCTCATAGTGCAAGCCTCGAACTGATATCCTAGGCTGGCCTCGAACTTGCAGTGGTCCTCCTGACTCAGCCGAGGATGACAGGGGTGCACCACCATGCCCAGTGACACTGCAAACTTTAATACCAGGCCACTCCGCTTTCACTCAGTGATATGTGAATATCCACAGCGGCCGACGATCCAGAAGGCTTCATATTTACTTTCTCTAAAAGCTTCCCAGGGGGCTGGAGGGATGGCTCAGTGTTCTAAAGCACCTACTTGAAACAAGCTTGGCAAAGCACAGGGACCGCGGTTCAATCCCCCAGCACCACATGCCAGCCAGCCCCGCCCCCTGGTGGACTGAGCTGGCCACACACACACACACAATAAATAAATGTAATAAATATAAAATAAATATTAAAAAAAAAAAATAAAAGCTTCCCAGAGGTCTGGGGAGATGGCTCAGTAGAATAAGTGCTTGCCTGGCAAGCACAAGGGCCTGAGTTCAATCCCTGGTTCTGTCAAAAAAAAAACAAAACAAAACAAACAAACAAAAAAAAACAAAAAAAGCTTCCAAGAGAAGCTGTATTGGGAGGGCAGCCTTACGCTCCTAGGTGCCAGTGATCCTCCTGCGTCAGCCTCCTGCACATGCCACTGCACCTAGCTGGTATTTTTCCTAATGCCTGGCCCTTCTAGCTCTTCTTGCCCTACTCTACACAATGAAAGGAAGCTCTCTATAGAACATCAGGGCACACAGCAGCCAAAACACTCTGGAGATACCAGGATGCAGATATCCCGCGTCTGCCACACGCGGCAGTGAATGTCCCCGTCGGCTGCTAGGGCTCCCGGGGTCAGGCTGCCCAAGGGCGTGGGGAAGGGCTGGTCCCACTGGGCGCTCACCCGCTGTCTCTCCAGGACCACGGACTGTGGCAGGGAGTCGTAGCTGCCCTCCTGGTAGGCGAACGTCTCCAGGTCATCGAGCTGGCTCTTGAGCTGCAGGATCAGCCCCTTCTGCCTCTCCCGCTGGCTTTCCAGGCGCTCCCGGCGCTCCTGCTCGCTCTAAGATGAGAAGACAGCTGGTTATTTACAGAGCAGAGCAGCTCGGGCAGGGCACGAGCACAGCGGAGGAGGGCCTGCCTGCACAGCCCAGCACCAGCCAGACAAAATGCTCGGGTCGGTAATGAGACAATACTGCTCCAGATCACCCGGATGAAACTCTCCACTCTCAAAGAGGTGCAAGAGTAAGAATGGTTTTTGGTGTTTTTTTTTTTTTTTTTTTTTTTTTTGAGACAGGGTCTCTCTCTATAGCCCATGCTGACCTTAAAACTTGCAGTGACCTTTCTGCCTCAGCCTCCTGAGTACTGGGGTTACAGGTGCGGCCACCATGGGCCAGCTTGAGAGCTGATGTCTTACATGTATGTTTTCTTTAAGAAAACAGGGCTGGTGAGATAACTCAGAGGACTAAGTGCCTGCTTAGGCAAGTGCAAGGACCTGGGTTCGATCCCTGGCACCACATGAGTCCTGCCCCAGGCATGCTGAATCAGTCACCGAAACCGGGCATGGTGGTGCATGCCTGCGATCTCAGCGCTGGGGAGGCTGAAAATAGGAGGATCACTAGGAGTCTGAGCTGCGTAGCGAGACCCTGTACCAAATACATTAAAAAAAGAAAACATCTGTCCTTCCTTAGCAATTCATCTAAATACAGTGGGGCCTTTTGTTTAGATGATTCCTGGTTTCCAAAAGTCTAGTTAATCTAGAGAAAACTGATCTTGACCAAAACGGCCTCCTGGGAATGAAGCATGCCATCTACTCAATACTTTGTATAGTCAAATTCTGCAAATGCAGGCTAGGGTATGGCCGAGCTGTACAGCACTTGCCTAGCTCGTGTGGAAAAGAAAAACAACAACAACAAAATGAGAAAACAAAACCCCAGCATTCCCAGGTGTAAGGATTTGAAACAAGACGTCTATAGAGTATTAGATTTAACCTTAAAGTGGTACTTACCAAGCCCTCCAGGGGTAAAGGAGAGAGAAAAACAAACAAAAAGCAACAAATTAATGTTTTGTTCACAATTTTTTTTTTTCCTGGTGAAACCGGGGATTGAACTCAGGCCTTTGCGCTTGCCAGGCAAGCACTTATTCTACTGAGCCATCACCCGGCCCCTTGTTCACAAATTTGTTTATTTATTTATTTATTTATTTATTTATAAACAGTATTGTTTCCATTTTTATTAGTTTTGATGCTGTTAGAGTGAAATACCAGTGGTCTCTGAGCTGAGCTGGGCTTTGAACCAGGGGCATCTGGCTCTGACCATAGCCAAATTTTTTTTTGTTTGTTTACAAATTTCAAAAGCAACCTTCTGGCCTCAGTGTGCCCCGCAGGGCAGTCTTCTCCTTGGTGCCCTCACCCTTCCGGAGCCTCCTGTCCTCGTGGAACGCAGACCTTCCCTACCAAGCAAAGGCCGGGTCTCCCCAGGGGCGCCCTGCTTTCCGGGCTTCGCATCACCTCCTCCGCGCTCTGACACGTCCATCCAGCTCAGCGCTCAGTGTCTCAAGGACCCGGCCTGCCCTTGAGCCCCTGAAGCCCGGGGCAGCGCCAGCCTGCGCAGCCTCTGCACATATTTGCTCTGTGATACTCAACTGACTTAGGCACAGAAGACGGATTTCAGCTGCTGAACTCTGACTGGAGGAGGTTATCTAGCCAGCCCCAGAGAACCGGGGAAACAGGCTTGGTGTTTGTTTTGTTTGTACTCCAGCCATAAAGCCTGATCCTGTTTCCCTGACAACTCGTGCGCTCCGTCATCTGCAGTGGTAGCTAGTGTGGCTGCAGAGTGCCACTGGGCAACCAGGACTCTGGTCACTCTGGGGGCGAGGTGCGTGTGTGTGTGTGAAAGCTGTGATCAAGGTCGAGCGCTCTATTTCTCAAAGTAAGAATGGACAGTAAAACCGTGCCACCGTCACACAACCTTAGGTGCTGTTTGCTGCTCAACAGGGCCTGGCCACAGTACTGCCACAGCTTCACTCTTTTTTTTTTTTTTTTTTTTTGCGGAACTGGGGATTGAGCTCAGGCCCTTGCGCTTATTCTACTGAGCTATCTCCCCGGCCCCTTTTAGTGTTTTTGAGACAGGGTCTCACTATGCAGTTTAGGCCGCCCCTGGATTCACTGTGCAGTCCACCTGAAACTCAGCGATCCTTCTGCCTCCGCCTCCTGAGTGCTGGGCTTCTAGGGGTGCACCAGCACGTCCGGCTGTGGATTCTGCCCATAAGTGTGGTCATTCCAGGGCGCGCCTCCTGGGTGGAAAGCTGAGTTTGCGCACTGAAGGGTGGGAGAGTAAACGCAAGATTGCTTGGGAGCAGCTCAGATTACAGTAAGCAAGTGGTATCTACTACTGATATGCTTCCTGGAAAACCAATCTGAGTGAGAAGAAAGGCACATGTGGGCCGTAACTTGAAGAACAGAACATGAAAAGCATTGTGTCTTAATCTCACAACCTACCCACGCTGCACTTCTAGGGACTCAAGGCCAGAAAGGATGCGACTTCTTGGTGCAGCATATCAGAAGTTATGGACTTTCTGACTACCAGGAGACCATGCTGATGGCCAAATCTCTTGCTCAGACGAGACAAGGTCAAGATTCAAGGGTTGAGGCCGGGGAGATAGCTCGGCAGCATAAGCGCCTGTCTGGCAAGCACAAAGTCCCGAGTTTGATCCCTGGTACTGCATGCCACATGGGCCCAGGAACCCCGGGCTTGCCCGGCCGGATCCAAAACTGGGTCTGGTGAGGTATGCCTATAATCCCAGTTCTGGGGAAGCTGAGACAGGAGGATCGCTGTGAGTTCGAGACCAGCCTGGCAGCTACAAAATAACGAAAGGGCCAGCCCAAACTGTGTAGCGAGACCCTGTATCAAAATAACTTTTTAGAAAAGCTCTAAGGGTTGATGGGATTTTAGAAAAGCACGGGAACTAACCTAATTTCCATGGGTTGCAACTCACTCTCACTTGCCAGTTCTTCCCATCCGCAGGGTGAGGGTGCGGGCCTCTCCGCACGCAGGGCCCTGGGCTCCAACCCCAAACCGGAAGCGCTAAGGACTTGGCGCCCGCTGCGGCGCAGGCCGAGCACCGCAGTCCCCGCGGCCTTTGCCCTGCCAGCGAGCTCCTCGCGCCCCGCGTCCTCATCGCGTGCACGCTTTTCCACGCCTCAGGTCACCCATCCTGCACGCAGGTTCCCAGGCCGCTGTCTACCCAGCCCTGGGCCCCTGTCGCCTGTCTTGGCCACCCCAAAGCCGCCGCTCACCCGGCTCTCGCCCCGCACTCGCGGCCGCTGCCCGGGCGGCCCGTCGCCCTCGTCCTCGTCGCAGGCGGCGTCCCTGGGGCCCTCGTCGCCCAGCACGTGCGGGCAGCCGCGGAAGGCGAAGTCCTCGAGCTCGCGCAGGAGGCGCTGCTGCTCGGCCGGCGCTCCGCGCACCACCTGACGAAGGCGGAACTGCACCTGCGCGAAGTGCGAGGACAGCGCCAGCAGCGCCGAGTCCAGCCTCCGCCGCTCGGCCCGCAGCCGCCGCAACGCCCGGCTCGGCGAGTCGGGAGGAGACCCTGAGGCGGCCCCAGGCTCCTCGGCCGCCTCCGAGAACGCGACAGCCCCTGGCCCGGCCTCGGCCACCGCCCCTACAGGGGCCCAGCGCACCGCCTCGCACGGCGGCGACGACTCCTCTTCTTCTTCCTCTGTGTCCTTCACCTTGGACACAGCGGTCGCCGCCGCGGCTGTCACTGGCTCCGTAGCAGCTAGCGCGGCCGCCATCTTCCCGGAAGCGCCGCCGCACACGCGCCGCACTCCCTTGCTGCCATGGCAACAGTGGCGGTCCGGAAGTCGGGCGGGACTTCCTGGATGACGTCAGCGGCGGCTCCGCCGAGCCTGCGTTCTGGCCAATCATCGGGCGGTTGAGCGGTTGTTGTGAATTGAGCTCCGGGGACTCCAGCCTGGGAGGCCACGCGGGAGGCCCGGGAGAGGGTCGTTCCCTCGCCCCTGAGGACTCCAGAGGCCACGGGAGCTGCAGCTGCTGGGCCGAGCTCTCCCGGTCCCTTCCCCGTGCACATCGTGGGCTGCCGCGCCTTGTCCCTTCCGCGCTCCCCTTCTCTCAGCCATATAAGGAGCGGCAGCTGCCGGGACAGCCCGAGAATCTAAAGATAGCGGCCAGGCCTTGCACTGCGGACGCCACCAGCCTGCAGGATCGTCATGGCACGGTGAGCGGTTCGGGGACCCTGCCCTGCCCCAGGTGTTCTGCCAGCTGCAGGCGCCCCGGAGCCCTGGGGAGTGGGGCGCATGACGGGGCTGAGGGCGGCGAGACCTGAACGCGCCCCCACTTCCTACCTCCCAGCCCTAGCGTGGCCCCTTGCATTCTCCCCGGGTTCACCCTCTGCCTCACATCCACCGCTCCTGACGCCCCGTCTCTTCCCCACCGAGCGCCGCCCGCGCCCCGTGTGGCCCCCTCCGCAGGCAGCACGCCCGGACGCTGTGGTATGACAGGCCCAAGTACGTGTTCATGGAGTTCTGCGTGGAGGACAGCACGGACGTGCGCGTGCTCCTTGAGGACCACCGCGTGGTGTTCAGGTAGCGCCTGCCCTCGGGCCGGGCTCCCCGACGCCCTCTCCCAGCGCCCGCCGCAGCCTCCGTCTCACGCCTGGGCTCCGTTGTTGCCTCCGCAGCTGCAAGAACGGCGATGGGGTGGAGCTGTATAACGAGATCGAGTTCTACGCCAAGGTGAACTCCAAGGTGAGGGCCGCGCAGGCCCGGGCTCAGGACGGCACCCGGGAGCGCAGGTGCTGGGAGCCCAGGTGCTGGGAGCCCAGGTGCTGGGAGCGCAGGTGCTGGGAGC